TGAGGCACACACACACCTGAGGGCCTGAGTGGCCAGGCACCTGGCAGGCAGACCCATGGGTGTTGGGGGGAGGGCCCATCCCAGGGCATCTGAACACTGGCACACTTGGACCTGCCTCTCCCACCCTCCCCCCGACCCCCCGCCCCTACTAGGGATCTGGGACAAAGTCCTGGGCCAGTTCAGGGCTTGGTAAAAAATAATTAATTTTTCTTTTTGAGTGAAAGCTCTGACTCAGGCCTTTTCCTGTCCCCAACAGCAACATCCTTGCTTAGGCCCGAACCACAGAAGCTGCTCAGGGGCTATCGATGGCCTCCCCGTGGCCAACCTGAGTCTGCTGTGAGGCTTCAGGCCCTACTTGGAAGGCCTGTGGGCTCCAGGTGAGTGGGGTCCGGGGAAGCCTGGAGGGCCTGAGCACAGCTGGGAGGGGCAAGGCTGTGATCTCCCATGGGTGAGTGTGTGCGTGCCCGGGCTGTACATGCCATGGGGCAGACAAAGCATGCCTGCATAAAGACATGTCTGTGGACCTGGCATCATGACAGCAGGGGGCTTGTGAACATGGGACCAGCAGGGACAGGAAGCTCATGCCTCTAGCCGCCTTGGGAATGCTCCCTGACTGGGACAGAGCCTGCTGGACCCAGGTGCTCCCACTCTCCTTCACTTCACCTTCCTGAGAGCCAAGAAAGCCAGGCAGCCAGGCTCCTGCTGCAAGGGGAGGGGGCTGCCCAGCCAGCTGCTGTGGGGGCCTTCAGTGACTCAGCTGGGTGGGGGGTGTTTATGAGCAGCCGAAATGGCTGTAAAAGTGGCACCTCGCTTCACTTATGGCCTGGCCATCCCCTCCCCTACTGGCCCCTTGCCTCGAAAAGCTTCCAGAGGGGCCTGGAACCTGAGAGGTCTGGGGTTGAGGCTTGGGGTGGAGGCTCAGCCTGGGGTCAGGGTTCAACCAGGGGCTAGAAATCAGAGTGGGATAAGAACTCAGCCTGGGGTCAGAGTTCGTCATGGGGGAAAGATCAGCCTGGGATCAGGGCTAAGCCTCGGGTTGGAGGCTGACTTTGGGGCTAATGCTGGGATGAAGTGTTGCAGGAGTATGATGCCAAAGAAGCAGATGTGGGCCATTTGTCCCAGAGACCCCTAGGCTGGGGCTTCCTAAAGCATTTTCTGACAGAGTGAGGCTAGGCTGCGGAGCTCAGAGAGCTGAGCCTCTGCCTTTCCTGTTGGAGTCTTGTGCCCACCCTGGCCCCAGGGTCTGTGTACCTTGGCGGGAGCCTTACTCACAGTGGCATGGCGGCCTCAGAGGCCTGTCAGCCTGGGGCTGCCACACCAGCAGGGGTGGAGCCAGGGCCCAGGCCTTGCTCCAGTTCTGAGCTCCAGTGACCATCTTGGCTCCTCCTCCTGAGCCCCAGCCTAGGGATCAGAGACAGGAACTCACTCCCACTCCCCACCCCCAGCCAGGCCTTTCCAAACCCCATTGAAACTGACCTGAAACTAACCAGAAACTGACCCCCAAGGCCCTGGGGCCTGACTGTCAAAAAGTGTAGGCTGGCTCTGCTGGGGGACTACCAGTTAACCTGTAACACCCCCACCCTCATGGTGGCACTTTAACCAGAGGCCTGAGGGTGAGTTAGGGGATCAATGGCCCCACCCACAGCTGTGGAATGTCCAGCAGGGGACTCTGGGGTGAGGCATGTGAGTTACAGCTAGGGGAATGCCCTTAAGGGGCCCAAAGCCCATCAGATTCCTCTCTGCAGCTCTGTCCACAGCCCACCCTGGTCCTCCCAAGTACAAATATTATTCGTTTCCAAATCTCAAGCTTTCTTGTGTCAGAACTCAGAACTCCCCCCACCCATCAGCCACTAGTTTTATCTCTCAGTCCTTCAAATGCCTCTGTGAATGTTCTTTTCTCATCACCAAGGTGGGTGGGTGGGAGGTCAGTGGTCATAGAACCATAAAACTTAGAATCACATAGAAACAGAGACATAAAGCTCAGATCATCAAAATATAACGCTGAAGAACCACAAGTGTTCATTGGGTGTCCACTCTGGGCACCTGGGTCTCTGTCCCTGTTTCCAAAGAGCTTGCACAGCATAGGAAGCAGCCCTGAACTCACAGTTGCCCCCAGTAATGAGGAATGTGGGGACACAAGGAGGGAGGGTGTCCTTTACACAGAGCAGAGGACACGATTCTGGCAGAGGAAACAGCAAAGACAGAGGCAGGGGAGGGAGCATGGGGAGAAGGCCAGGAGTCCAGCAGACGGTGCCTGTTGGAGAGAGTCATCTTTGAAGGAAATTGTCTCAAACAGCACAGTCCTTCAATGCCAGGACAAGACACTTGACGGCAGTGGGCACGGAGGAGGGGTGCAGCCATAGGAATGTGTGGAAAAGACAGCTGTGGGTGCAATCTGGAGGATGGATGGGCTTGAGACTGGAGATGGGTAAATGGAGCTGGACTAGGCTTGAGGGCCCATTCACACTGAGCTTTGGAGGGCAGGTTTGGGGGCTCTGAGGAGCTCAGTTCCCACAGGCTGAGTCTGGAGAGTCCCTGTAGCCCATGGGCCTGGACACCCACCCTAGGGGCACTAAACAGTAAAGCTAAAAGTGCCCTTTGAATCAGCTGGTCAACTCCCCCATTTTACAGATGAGGAAACTGAGGCCCAGACAGTGAGAGAGTTTAGTGCCCAAGATACACAACTGGTAAGTTGGCAAGCTTAGCCCAGATGCTATTTCCCACAGCCACTTACGTTAGCTTCCAGCTTCGGACAACCATCCCTAAAGCCTTCTGCTCCAGGCATCCCAGCCCCTCCCTCAACCTCAACTTCCCCACCTGGTACCTGAGGTGGTAGGCTTGGGGTTGAAGGCCCCCTGCCTCTTAGAGCTCCGCGTCCCTCCCGGGCCCAGCACATAAGCCCCGCCCCTGTCTGGCCCCAGACCGCTTGTATTCCCCCCTCCTTTCCCCTCAATTGAGGGTCCCCAGCAGACCTGAGCTGGCCGAGAGCATTTGGGGGTGGGGATGAGGGAGGGAAGTGAAGCTCAAGGGTGAGTGTTGGGGCTGAGCCCCAAGTCTTGCAGCCTAGAACCGCCAGGGTTGGGGCCAGGGGCGGAGCTGAAGAGGCCTGGCCAGCAGCTGAATGGGTCGAGACTCTGAGACTGGGACCCGTAGAGACACTGGGCAGGGAGGGAGCGAGACTTGCGGCTGGAGACCCAGGCAGGGGTGGGGGCGGGTCTAGGGCCGAGCAGACCAACCTTCTGGGGATGGAACGGAGGGTGGGGGGCAAGGCGAGGGAGGGGCTGGACAGGGGGCGGGCGGTGGGGGCAGCAGCGGCCGAGACAGGCTCGGGGCTGACAGCCGAGGAGCCTCCCCGGGGACCCTGACCCAGCCCAGCTGGCGGACAGACAGCGCCGTGGCCAGGGACGCGCGGGATACCGGGCGGCCTCCCCAGGGGATGCTCCCGTGAAAAGGGCCTGCTTCTCCGCTGAGGGTCCCCATTCGCCAGCCCGGGCCGGACGATCAGAAAAAATTAAAAACTCCGTGCTTTCCCGAAGAAGAGAATGAAGCGGCGGCAGCGTCCAGGGCTCGGTTCTTGGGTCTCGATGTCAGAGCTCCCCCCGCCCCGTCCCCCGACACTCACATCCCACCGCTGTACGACCCCGGGCCACGGCCTCTAAAGAAGCGTCCCAGGGCAGGGGGCAGCGGGCTCCGCTCTGCCCCTCCACACATCCGCGTCCGAGGCGACGGGGGTGGGTAGGGGCGGGAGAGGCCCAGGGAGGGCGCGGGGGAGGGAAGAGGCGCCCAGGCCGCGGGGGGAGGGGGAGCGGCAGACGCCGAGGCGAGGGACGCGCGCGGCGGGCGGTGGCTCCGAGCGGCGGCCGGGTGGGGGGCGCTGGAGGCCAGGCCGGCCAGGGGGGCATCCCGAGAGCTCCATGAAGTCCTCCCGGGGCCGCAGACGGGGCGCTGGCTTGGGGAGGCTGTCGGGGGGGCCCCGATATCCATGGCAAGGCGGGGGCCGCGGCGGCGCGCTCGGAGTAAGTCGGGGCTGGGGGCAGGCGCCGAAGGGAGGTGGCCGGGGCTGGGTAGGGATGATTCCGGGCCTGGCCGGGGCAGCCAGGCTGGTCGGTCTCGGTGTCAGTCGGCTGCGCCTCTTCGGAGCCCTGCGGAGCCGCTCGGCTCGGCGGCTTTTTTGGAAACTTGCAAATGTTTTCGTAGAGAGAGAAGGGGGAGGGGAAGGAGGGAGCGAGGGAGTGACCGAAACTGAGCTGGGGCCGCTGGAAGAACTGAGGCCAAGGCTGGGGGAGCTAGAGACGGACTGACAGACAGGCAGGCAGAGCATCCGGGCGCTGGCGCGCTCGAGCCGCGCGGGCGCAAGCAGGGCTCCGACCGACGATGGGGAGTGGGTGCGGGAGACGGCTGCCGAGGGGATGGAGGGCCGAGGGGACAGAGGGAGCCAAGGGGCTGGGAGTGGCGGCCCGAACACCGAAGGGCTTAGTGTCGTTGCAAAGTTGGGATCGCGTCCCCTAGCTACCTACACCCCGCGCGGCTCAAAACGCGCCCCCAGCCCGGCCCGTACTCCCCTACTGCGGAAAGCCGCGGAGCTAAAAATAACAGCCCGGTTCACCCCCTGCAGACCGCGACCCCGACCCCTCCCCTGCCCCCTCCCCCACTGGGCGTGGGGCGAAGCCACAGCTCCCAATTCCCCAAAAGAAAAAAAAGAAAGAAAAGGCGGCGCGGGAGCGGGGCGGGGGGCGGGCCGGGGGCGGGGGGCCCGGCCATATGGATGTGATTTCTCCGCTCCGAGGCAGACGGGCCGCTCCGCAGCGCTCGGCGCCCGCCCGCCGCCCGCCGGGCCTCCGGCTGCCTCCCTCCCTCACACCCTCCCTCTCTCCCTTGCGCTCGCTCGCTCGCTAGCCATCAGCGCATGGGCCCCGCGCCCGGCCCCGGGGCCTCGGGCCGCCGGGCCGCCGGGGTCCCCTAGGCCGGGGCGTGGGCGGGGCTGCCCAGCCTGACGCAGCTCTGCACCCCCCACCATCACCAGGGCCGGCGGCGGCGGCTGCCCCGAGGGACGCGGCCCTAGGCGGTGGCGATGGGGGCCGCCCGGATCGCACCCGGCCTGGCGCTCCTGCTCTGCTGCCCGGTGCTCAGCTCCGCATACGCGCTGGTAAGTCCTCCGCCGCCAACACTCCAGGACAGGCTGCGGGCGTATTCTGGGGTCCCTGGGGTGGGTCCAGGGCACGGAGTCTTGGGTTACCCCGTAAGTCTGAACTTTGGGTGAGAGTCCCCTCTGACTCAGGATCCTGGGTGCCTGCTGTCTCTGGGATGTGTGGACTGTGGGTTCCAGATGCCTGAAGTCTCCCTATTCTTGAAGCCTGAGTTTGGAGTCCCAGGTCTGGAAATCTGTGGTTGGGATTTGCCTATCCTCTGCTTCTGTGAGCACCATGGCTGTATCTCCCTCGAAGATGATCGTGTGATCTAGAAGAAGGCTGGGTTTGGCCCAGGTGTGGAATCCTACAGACCGCTTTGGGGACCTCCGTTTTCTGCAAGTTTTGTTTGCAATCCCGGACACAGGGATGTGGGTCTGAGGCCAGAATCACCCAGGCAAGGGGTAAGATTTAGGGGCCCCCTCCAGCTCTGATGATCACACACATACATACACACATGCGTGCACACATGTCTGGCTTTACCCAGAGTGGAAGCTGTTTGCCCAGGTAGGAGGGATGGAAGTCCGCTGAAGGAAACTGACCTCACGGAACACCCCTACAGGAGAAGCATGCTTGAGGGGGACTCTGGTAAGTGAGGAGACCCCTGGGAATACTGTGCGCTCCCTTGAGAGTGGACACCAAGAGACGGAATGGTAGGGAAGGCTGGAGAGAGGCAGGGACAAAGGGAGTAGGGATGAGAGCTCCCAAGAGCAGGAGGGGTGGACAGACCAGGAACAGCAAAGAGAAATAGGGACAGGCAGGCAGAGTCAGAGAGCTGGAACACAGAGGGGCAGCACCTCCTCATCCTGGGCTAGGGTCTAGGGTCCACTTCCTGGGAAGGGGGGTGTCCCATGCCCTCAGTTACATCCCACAGCAGCCCTACCCCAGAGGACCAGCCCATTCCTGAGAAGGCTGTCTGCCTGTGTGCCTAACTTCAAGGCCCCTTCTCCCCCACCCAATTGGGGCTTCTGCCTTCTAGAGAAAGGGGCAGACAGGCAGCTTCCTCTTCCTGACCAGCAACAGCTCCCTACACAGCACGGAGCCCCATACCGGGAGGCAGGAGCTCTGGGATGCCTCCACCTCTGCCAAATGCCTGTATAACCTTGGGCTACCCTTCTCCATACCTCAGTTGCCCCATCTCTAAAAAGGGCATGAAGGAAACGTTGGCCTAAGAACCCCGTAATCTAAGGTTCTCCCCTCCTCTGTGGTCCTCAGCACTCCCCATTCGCTTGTGCCTATGCCCTTGCGATTCTGGCCCCAGCAAAAGCTCCCCTAAGCCAAAGACGTAGCCCACAGGAGGACTAGTAGATGAGAAAACTGAGGTCCAGAGGGGCCCGGCACCCTGTGCAGAGACACTCCAAACTCTGGCAAACGCTGGGGGACAGAGCGGTTTCCCCACCCTTCTCTCAGTGAGCTCTGTGTGTGCACACATATGTGTGCGTGTGACTGTCCGGTGAGTATGCAAGGTGATGGGTGTGGGTGTCCTGAGAGTGCGTCTGTGTGGCAGAGCAGGGCTATGTGGGACTCTGGGTATAGTGTTCGTCTGCATCTTTGGTTGTGGGTATCTGATCCCCTGTGTGAGTTCCTGTGTGTCTAAAGCTATGGATCTGCACATGACTTGTAGAGCACAGTTGTGTGTGCACCTGTGTGCTGTGTGTGCATTTTCGAGCATGTGTGCACCCGGGTCTATTGTTTTCTTATTTGTATTTAATAAATGCTTCTGTAGTGCTTTCTACTTGCCAGACATTGTTCTAAGCACTTCACATGTATTAGCCAGTTTAATCTTCCCAATAACTCTCTGAGGAATGTTATTGTCCCCATTTTTAACTGACCCAAATCACACAACCACAATGACCATTATTTATCTCATGCCAACCAAGTGCTGAGCCTTGTGCTTCTGTGTGGGGGGGTATACTGGTACCCAGAGCCCCATACTGCTCTCCAGGGAAGCGGAGTTATATGCAGAGAATTTGCCTGGCTTCGCCCTGGCCCATGGCTGAGGGTAGGGTAGGAAGAGAGATGCCAGTGCTGGGTTTGCCGCAGGACCTTGTTGGGGCACATGAGTTCACTGGATACTCCGTGGCTTCAGGACTAGAGGATTTGGCCTGAGAAGGATGCAGCCTACCCACCCATCCAGTGTCCTGTGGGCCCCCTGGGCTCAGCTGGAGCCAGCAAGAGGCTGACAGCCTGCCAGCTCCCTCTCCTCAACCAGGAGCTGCTGCTCCCATCCAGAGCGGCACTAGTGCCCCCCAAGCCCACCAACCTCATCTGATAGCCTCGCCACCAAACCTGTATGCTACCTGTCCAGCCAGCCCCAAGACCAGGCTCATATCTCCACTGACCTCATGTTTGGGGGACCAAAGAGTATTCCATGGGCTGTGGCCAGACTCAGCTAGTCCAGCTGGTACCTTACAGGAAAGAGCACCTCAGAAGCTGGGGGTCAGGAGGAGTGAAGTTTGGAAGAAGGGATGGGCCTACAGATTGTGAGTAGGAGGCAAAGGGGCATTCTTGTCCTGGGGGATGCCTTGTCCTAAGGACACCCTCAACATGCATGCATGTGGAGGAGGAGACACTGCAGCGGGAGAGGCTGAAGCTCAGTGTGGGGCAGGCCTTGAGTGTGGAGATGTGACCACCGGGTAGGACTCAGAAGAGACTTCGGTAAGAACTCACAGGCTGCTCCAGGGGCAGCTCGGCCATGACGCTTGCTTTTAAAGAAAGGAAGGGCATGTATTGAACACTGGCTCTCCCCAGATTCTGAGCTAGAATCTGTCACGCATGTTTTCTCATTCCATCCATTCACCCAGCCATTTTACGAGAAATGGCCCTGGCGGGGGGAGGGTCACCCAGTCTGGGGCACAGTGAGATTTGAACCCAGGTCTTCAGACTCTGCACTGAGCACCTTCCTCCAAAGCAGCATGAGAGTCGCCACTGGCAAGAGATCCGCATGTCTCATGCTGGGCTTTCTTTTCCTTCCTTTTCTTTCTTTTTTAAAAAATTAAATCCTTCTGTTATTTTACTTTCTTATTTTTAACTTCGTAACTAATACATGAATATGTTCTTTCTTATGAAAGAGTCATATAATACATTTTAAACAGAAGTCCCCATGATCATTCCCAAACCCCGTTCCCCCTTCCAGGGAAAACCATGTTTAACTGTCTGGGTGGAGGGTTTGTCTTCATACCTCTTTCTGTGTGCTTCCAAATGGTACCTCTTCGTGTACATGTCAAATAGATAGTTTTGTTTTGTGGTTTTCTTTTTGTTTGGTTGATTGTTTTTAAATAAATGACATCAGTTTTTAGATAGGCCTCTGCCATATGCATTTTTCTACTTAAAGGTGTGTGTTGGAGATCTTTGGTCAGTAAATATAAATCTTTTTGTAATGCTACGTAGTATTCCAAAACCTGGGATTCATTAAGCAGTCCCTAGGAATGTACATTTAGGTTGCTTTTGCATAATGTCATGTGTGTGTGTATGATTCCAAATGGTGACGGGGAAGCTCCTTGAAATGCCCTCTTATGTCCGTCCCCATGTGACTCTTTCCCAGTAGGATATTTCTAGATTTTGTCATTGCTGGGTCTGTGAACATGCACATTTTTTATTTTAATAGGGATGGCCAATTTGCCCTCTAAAAAGCTTGTGCCAATTTATACTTACAACACCAAGACTGACCAGGAGGACTCCCTCCTCACACCCTGTCTCACCTTTGCCATTTGGAGAGGTGAACAATGGTATGCCTTGTCATTTTAATTTGCTGATTACCAATGACTTTTGCACTTTACATTGATTTATTATCCATCTTCTAAGAGAGCTTGCTCAGAGCCATTACCCATATTTCTATGGGTTATTTATCTTTTTCGTATTGATTTGCTGAAGCTTTTTATATCACCTGCTCTTAAACACATCCCCCCCCCCGCTCCCCCCTCCGCCCCCAGCTCTCAGAACTGCCTGTGGACAGAGCAGTAGGGGGGGCCGAGCCCTCCCAGGAACTTGGGAACTTGGGTTTTCTTCGGAATGTTTTAATGAGGCGTCAAGCAGCCTCCCCCAGATTCCTGTTGTGGGCCTTCTGGGGACACTCCCTGGTCCAGCCACCACATCAGGAAAGCAGCTATTTCAGAGAGAGAGTCCCCAGGAAAAAGAAAAGGTGGGGTAAGTGTTTTGCAGACCCCTGAAATTGTCTGCAAAATATGACGTGAATGGGAAAGGGTGCAAAGTTTTGCTCAGGTTTACAAAGATATCAGAGACCTCCAAACCCTTAAGAACCCCAACTCTGGGGCCAGCCTTGGGCAGGAAGGGAAACCTGGTGGGACCCCATTCTGCTAACCAGGCTATGGTTAAGTTAGGCCATGCCATCCTTCCAGGCCTTGGTCTCCCAGCCCAGGTAGGGGCCGCTTGTGAAGATCCACAGGGTCCTAGCAGCCAACTCTGCCATCCCAGGCTCCATCCCACTGCCTGCCCTGAAGGCGGCCACGCTGGCTGGCCAGGATGAGAGGCGTCACAGTGCCTCCCCCCCCAGCCCCTCCCAACCCCAAACACAGGCAGCCTGTTCAGGAAGGCCTGGTGAGGGGGGGAGGAAAAGTCAGCACTTGTCAGCAGTGGTGAGGCAGGACAAGGAGCCTGCTCGGCCAGCCGGACAGACAGAGGGCAGCAAGGGGTGGGAGAGCAGTCCCAGCCAGCTGGCATGGGAGACAGCCAGGGGTGCCAGCATGGGTCCCAGTAGTGAAACCTGGAGGAGGGCTGCAGGAAGGCCAGGAGGTCATGAAGGGGTCTCCTGTTAGCCAAGGTTTTCTCCTTTTGGCTTTGCTGAATGCATCGACTGCTGTGGGCCTAACTGTCCTCTGCTCATTTAGAGCAGGGGACAAGCTGCCATCACCAACACCATCACCACCATCACCTCTGTATCTACTTCCACTCCTAAATTACCTTTGGGAAGGCTGCCACAGGGGGTCTGCAAAGAGATGCTTGCTTGACACAGCAAAGGGTACAATCCGGAAGGTCTCCATGGAAATATGGTGCTGTGGCTGGTGCCAGGGGATCCAGTGGCCGGGTGCTTCCTCCTTTCTGTCCCTTCCTCTAGGGCTGCTCCTTTTTTTTTTTTTTTTTTTTTTTTTGAGACAGAGTCTCACTGTGTTGCCTGGGCTAGAGTGCCGTGGCATCAGTCTACTTAGCTCACAGCAACCTCAAACTCCTGGGCTCAAGCAATCCTACTGCCTCAGCCTCCCGAGTAGCTGGGACTACAGGCATGCACCACCATGTTCTGCTAATTTTTTCTATATATTTTTAGTTGTCCAGCTAATTTCTTTCTATTTTCAATAAAGATGGGGTCTTGCTCTTGCTCAGGCTGGTCTCGAACTCCTGAGCTCAAACCATCCTCCCACCTCGGCCTCCCAGAGTGGTAGGATTACTAGCACTCAGACCCTTTCCAGCAGCCACCTTTACTAGCTAGGATTAGCTAGCCCGACCGGGCTGCTGCTTTTAGTGTCAAGCCGACCTTTGCCCCATTCCTGGCCCTCGTCTTTCTAACCATGACTCTCGGCCTCAGTGTCCCGGTTTGTAAAGCGAGGATGTAGAAGGTGAGGGAAACATGGGTAAAGCTCCTTGAACATGGGGAGGGTGCACTAGAGCAGAGGGCATTGAAGCTGAACCCTCTGATGGTTGGGTCAAGGAGTGTCAAGCCAGCCCAAAACCCAGACCACAGGAGGGGTGTTGGGGGAATACAGGACACCTGGTACAGGGCTGGGTGGCCTCACGATGGTGGCTGTGGACTAAGTGACCCCTGGCCAGGACCCAGTCCCCAGTCCCTCAGTCCTCACCCCTTAGACCCGAGATCTGCAGACTTTCTGGATCTAAGGTGATGCAAGTCTGAGTCCTCTGTTGGGCTGGAGCTGGCTGAAAAGACAGGAACACTCCAAAGGGAAGGGGTTGGTGTGTGAGGGGAAGGGAGTGGCAGACAGGGGGATGCCAGGCTGGAAGACAAATCATAGTTGTCAGCATTTCCCCTCATGCCCAGGAGATAAGACGTCCCCAGCCAGGGCAGAGGCAAAGGAGAGGTCCTCTTACCCCTCCAGGCCCAAGCTTGGGGGGCCCTGACAGTGACCTTGAATCCCAGTCTGAGTCCAGGGTGGATCAGAAATGCAAGGAGTCATTGGGATGTCGTTGCACCCCCAAAGCTTACCAGGCACACCTTTGTGGGCTCTCTGCCCACAATCCTCCCAGGGGTCCCCACCTCCCATCTGCCCCTCACTGTTGCCCCCTGGACCCAGTCTTTTAACCAATCTCTACCTGCCACCCTGGTCCCTGGCCTGGAGGCACCCATGTCACCTGGCAGCAAGGGACCCATGGGGTGGGGAGTCATGAATTGCTACTGCTGCTGCTATTAACAGTAGCAACAATAGCGACCAGCTTTCCTGAGCCCCACCCCTGACCTGGCTTTTCATGCAGCACCTCATTTAATCCTCACAACAGCCCTATTATCACCCTGTTTTTGCAGGAACACTGAGGCCCAGGGGTTAAGCAACTGTCCCAAAGACCCAAAGCCAGTCAGGTGTGCAGGTGGATCCAAGCTCCAGTGCTGGTGGCAGAACTTCCCCGGATGGGGGGAATGTGCAGCTGGAGGGAGGGGTGAATGGGGCTGGGGGGCATTCCCGGCAGGGGAGCTGTGCTCTGAGGCTTGGAGGTGGGAGTGCAATTGGTGTGGGGCTGTCCTCCTCTCCTTGGGAAAGTGCCTGCTTAACTCTGACCTGAATTCTTGCTGCAGTGGCAGCTCTCCTGTGATTGGGGTGACAGAGAAATAGGTCCTAAAGTTCAGGGAGGCCAGAGGTGGGGCAACCACTCCTGTGGATGAATGAAGGAGTTGGAGGGGGACATGGCATGCTGGGAGTACATACTCTCCCCTCTCCCAGACATTGCCAGATCCACTGTAGAAACAAGACTCTGGAAAAGGGAGTGTGCCTCCTCCTGCTCGTGGAGAGGGGGAAGCCAACAGCAGTAGGTGGAGGCTAAGTAGACTCCATGGGCTTGTGAGAGGGCGTGTTGGTCAGTTTCTGGTCTGCCAACTGGTCAGTCAGTTTTCACCTCATGACTGCCTGCCTCTAGCCTAGGCCATCAGCTGTGACCCTCAGCCACATCAGTGGGCTAGTCTGCTGGGAGGGCTGGTGAGTCAGCAAGGCTCTGGGGACTGGTGGGAGCCTTGGTCAGTCAAGAGCTCTGTATCTGCTGAGAAGAATAAGGTACATTATCCGTTTGTCTTGAGAGGGGTGGAGGTGGGCAGAAGGAGAAGAGGAGTCAGGTGTGGGGAGGGAGTGAGGACAAGATGGCAAAGATGGTGTAGACAGTGGTTACTGGGCAGGTGGCAATATTGGTGATGGTGCTGATGTTGCCTTTGGTGATAATGGAGTGTGGCACTGGTGCTGGTGGAAATGGAGGTGGTGGCAGTGATGGTAATGGCGTTGTGCCGGTTGTGATCACGGTGATGGTGGTTATGTGGATGGTAGCAGTAGTGCTCATGGTGGTAATGGTGCTGCCGGTGGAGTGGTGGTGGTGGTGATACTGGGAAGGGATGGTGATGGTTGTGCTGATGTTAGTGCTGGTACTTGTGGTTGCTGATGGTGATGTGACGGAAGGATGGTTATTGATAGAGGTATTAGTAGCAAAGATGGAAATGGTGGTGAATGGTGCTATAATAACAGGAGTGGGGTGGGCAGAGATCAGACCCCTCAGCAGCCTGCGTCCCCAGCGTCAGAGGCAGGAGAGATTCAGGCTAGTCTGGAGGCCCCTGGATCCTGGGCAAGCTGGAGTTGCCCTCTCTCAAGCCCCATCACCCTGTTGCTACTTCTGCCCCAGCCAGCTGAGCAGTAGCTGTGGTGGGGAAGCCATAGGATACAGGAGCCATGGGGCCAGCAGCCAGCACATGGGAATCTGCTCCAGCCCTTCCAGAGGGCCCATGGGCATTGGGTCCAGCAGAGATCTCGGGGTCCACCTCACCCCCAGAGACACCCAGAAGCACAGGACGCCCACAGACACGAACGCTAACGGGCTACCGCATCACACTCACAGACGCGCACACGCCGACCTTTGCCCAGAAACACACGTGCACGTTCACAGGCACGTCAGGCTCATGTCCCAACTTTACATGCTGGACGAGCGCACGTGGGAACGCCCGGAGACGGGCACACACAGGGTACACGGCGGCCGGACGGCGTGCGCGCTGCCACGAGGGGTGCGCCGCCCTCGCACGCGCACGCGCACAGACGCGCACGCTCCTGCGCTAAATGAAACCAGTAGAATCCGAGACCGGCCGAGCCAATTGGAGACTCCTTGGCCCTGGAAGCCCTAGCTGCTGCCGCCAAGAGACGCGGTCAATTAACTTCTCCCTGCAGCCGGGCTCCCTGACCCGTCTGCCCGCCCCTTCCCGGCCTGCCTCCCCCTGGTTCTCCCGCCCCGCGCAGCTGGCTCCGACTGAAGGGCCGGCCCCGCCGCCGCGTGTCTGACGGCATGCAGCTCTGCCCGCCCAGGTCTAAGGGGATGAGGCTCTGCCCTGTGGAGTCTGAGGGGAACACAGTCTTTTGGTGTAGGGGGGTCGTCTCTGGGGACATGGCCCTGCCTAAGAGTCTGAGGAGACATGGCCTTGGCCTGGGGGGGGCTCTCAGGGAATGTATTAACCCCCTTGTGGGTCACACTCATAGCAGTGGCTGGGCTGGGCATACTGAGCTGTTCCCAGGGCAGCATGCTGCCTTTGCCCTCTGACTCCCAAGTCAGGGGGACAGAGGCTCAGACCCTTTCCAGCAGCCACCTTTGCAGGGTGAGACACTCCCCCCTACCCCCGGCCTGTTTTATTTCCTTCCTTATAATGATGCCCGTGAGTCCCAGTGGGTGGCAGCCAATGCCCAGGGTGTGCAGGTTGGAAGGAAGGGAAAGGAGGGACATTCCAGGCAGAGAACAGCAGGCGTGAAGGCCTGTCCCATGTCATCAGAACACAGGGTCTCCTTGGATGGAGGGAGCTCCCAGATAAGCAATAGAATGAGGGGGACTCCCACCCACAGCCTGCATGGGAGTGCCCAACCCAACTCAGGCCACTTGCCAGCAATGCCTCCATCCTCTCCCTCTTGGGATCCTAAGGGGGAGGGACTGAGGCACTCACCATTCACCAGGAAAAGCATTGACGGGGGAGTTGGGCCGGGATGGAAACTGGTAACTCCCAAGGTCCTCCAGGGCTCTAGGACTTGAAGGAATCCAGGCTGGGTTTGTCTTCCCAGAGTTCACCACTCCTTATCCACCCCCACCCACCAGGTCCCCAGCAGGCAGCCAGGATCCTGTGAGGATCCTCCCTGGGACATTCCATCCTGTTCCCATGTACCCCTGGGGAAAGAACTGGACAGAGAATATCAGTGGCTGCAGCCTGCAGGGTTACTGGCGGGCAAGCAGGAGACAGCCCCCTCCTTTTTCCCTTTGATTGAGCAGGCCCTCCCCTTCGGAGCCACAGCTTCCCATCTGTAAAATGGAAGCTACATAGGGCAGATTTTCCTCATGTGGCAGACTTCCCACATTCTCTCTAGAGTCACAGCCTTTGGAAGGAGGGGAATCCCTCTGGGAGGATGGGATGGCTCTGGGGCCATGCTGTGCTGGAAAGCTCTGCATGTGGTCTGACCTTTGGCTTGGCAGGTGGATGCAGATGATGTCATGACCAAAGAGGAACAGATCCTCCTGCTGCACCGTGCCCAGGCCCAGTGTGAGAAGCGGCTCAAGGAAGTCCTGTGGAGGCCAGGTGGGAGCAGGGCCAGATGAGGAGGGTCTGGGAATGAGGCAGGGGAAGGAGGGGCCAGATGAGGGTGGGATGTAGAGCCAGGTGAAGGCTCAAGGTGAGGGTGGACTCAGGTAACAGGCCAGGCCAAAGTGAGAACCACAAGTAGGGTGGGTCACGCAAATGTGGAGTCAGCAAGCTCAGGTCATACTTGGCTTATCCTAAGTCCTGAGGACAAGGTCTGTGTGCTGCCTGCCACTAGCTATCCGATATCCTCACCCCCACCCACGCTCTCTTGAACACACACACGTGGTTGGGAATGGGAATGGAGAGAGTCTTTGGCAGGGTCTGCCCAAAGATGTGCAGGACTTCTCCTGCTGGGGTGGTGGTAGGGCAGTGTGAAGGCAGTTGAAGTCCAAATCACCCCCAAAGGGCTTAGATCTGGTGGGGCAAGCTAGGATCAGGACCTCTGACTAGGGTGCCAGCCCCAGCAGGGTGGGCCAGGACAGCTTCCTGAAGGAGGAGTTAGCCAAACCAAGTCCAGAAGGATGGGTAGGTCTTTAAAAGAGGCCACCTGGGCAGAGGGCAAAGAGGTCTCCAGGGTGGGGAGAATGGAAGGGTCCATGTGGCTGGATGGGCAGGGGGTGAGGACAGAGGGATAGGAATGGATATCTCAGATTCAGTCATGATCATCACCTGGCAGGGAGGGTACTTGACCTGGGTAGGGAGTGTTCCCTCCCACCAGCACGGCATCTCTGTGGGACCCTGCCACGAGGAAGGGGAGCAGCTCCTTATTTCACTGCTCCCGTAGTGAAATCAAGCTGGGCTCTTCCCCACCCACTTCCTTGAATCCATTTCCTAGAAGCCGAAATGGGGTCTCATTAGCACTCATCCAGGCCTTCGATGTCTGTCTGGTTAATCTCATAAACCTAAAGAGGCCCAAACCTACAAAAGCAGCAACCTCCCCTGAGCTGGCCCTTAGGCTGCTGGGTGGACAACACTGATACACACCCAGGACACAAGAACACAATGACACACACACCCTGTAGCACACTGACAGAGCCTCACATAGTCTCTGCAGTCACGGCCCCACCCACCAGTGACTCTGGTCACATCAAGATCTGGGGGTAAGGTCGGTCCGGCCCCCCTCCCTCCGGATCCTGAGCCCAGCCCTCTTCCTCATTGCGGAAACCTGCGAGGAGCTTCTCTCTGCTCCCTCCCCATCCACCATGGAGCATCTCCGTTACCCCATCCTGCTACCCAGCCCCCAACAATGATGGCTGAGGGTAAAGACAGGGAAATGGGCACAGCCATTCTGAGGTCATCTGGACTCAGTTTCCCATCCTTGCCACAGACCCAGCATGGGAAGGCCGGGGGCCCCTGGCTTGGGCTGTAGCTGAAGGGGTACAAGCAGGTAATGAGGGGGCTTTGCAGCTAGGAAGAAAGACCTCCAGAATCTCTCCAATGGAGAGAAAGGCCAGGCCCCATCTCAGATGAGTCTCCAGGGCCACTGTGGAAGCTGCGAACCCCTTACCTAAATATCCTAGGGCAGGGGATGGGGTAGGTGGACTTGTCTGTCCACTTTGACAAATGGCCCCACCTTGCTTTTGTCTTCCTCATCACCAGCGTCTCTACCTGCACAGCACTCCGTCTGGACTTCATGTTTGCCGTGTAACCTGTCTGTGGACATCACCCCCTCTGTCCACTTTTACCATGCGCCCCCTGGTGGGGCTTTCACTCCTATGAGCCCCTGTCTGACTCCTAGGTGGAAGGACACCACCTCTGCTGTCGCACCCACATTTACTGCTCAAGCCACTAGCTGATCTGATCCTACACTCACATGGTGTTCACTCCCATTGGAACCCTGGCCACAGTCTCCATCTCCTCTCATTACTTTTCCACCTGGCAAGCACTTTACAGTTTGTGAAGCACTTCCTCACCCATCGTCTCAGATCTCACAACAGTCTGGGATGTCAGCAGAGCAGGGGACAACCCTCCACTGTTCAAAAGGGGAGTCTGACGAAGGAGGGTACCCAAGGTCTCCCGTTGTAGCACAGCTGACAGCCATAATTACTCTGATTTCTCCAGCTGACATAATGGAATCGGACAAGGGATGGACATCTGCATCCACATCAGGGAAGCCCAGGAAAGAGAAGGCATCTGGGAAGCTCTACCCTGAGGACAAGGAGGCGCCCACTGGCAGCAGGCACCAAGGTTCGTCTGTGCCTCCATGCATCCAGCTGACCTTGGCCTGGGCCTGTTCGCTCCCATTGCTCTGCCCCCACGTGTGAGCCCTCTTATGGAAAGTAAAAGGCTGAAGCCCCCTCCCCAGGAAAGCAGGGCAGGGGCTAGCAGGAGACAAAACCTAGGGGTCAACATACGGAGAAGCAGGCAAGCGGGATGGGCTCAGGGCCCTGGGAGATAAACATAGGGAAGTCACCCAGCACCACCCTGCAGGGGTGGACCCAGGGCTTTAGCCCCACCCATGGAGAGAAAGAGAGATGACAGTGAAGCCTGGGAGACAGAGAGGCAAGGAGAGATACACAGAGACAGAGAGAGGCACACCGAGACATGGAGACAGAGATAAAGAGAGACAGAGTCACAGAGACAGAAAGGGGACCAGGAGGTACAAACTGAAGGTCTGGGACTCAGCGTGTAAGAGGAGGTGCCCCATGACACATAGCGAGTAGAGAAACAGAGCAGGAGGGGAGGGCAGCGGCAGAGCGATGGGGCCAGAGACAGTGGGACAAGGACAGAAGAGAAAGGAGGGAGGGAGATGAGCGGAGACAGACACAGAGCCCAGGCTTTGGCCACAGGGCCGGTTTGAACTGGCTGGGTGGGCAGCGGATTCCAGATGGGCCACATCTGGGAGGCTGTGGTCACCCTGTGGCTCCCTGGGGACTAGAGGGAATTGTGGGCCTGGCTGGGCGGGGCTGGGAATATGGCGCCCAGGACAGAGAGCCTTTCACCAAACTGGGTGGGGCCAGCCATCAAGGCAGCCTTCCGGGATGGCTGGAGAGTCCTGTGGTTGGAGCCCTACAGGAGGAGAGAAAGGGGCTGCAAGCTGGGGATGGAATGTGGAAGGTTGAGAGTCTGGGGACCCTCTGAGGTCATTTAGCATCTGTATAGTGAGGCTGGGGCCCAAAGGTGGGATGTGCCACCCCGCTGTGAATCCCAACATTAAGATTTAGACTTGGGAGATGGTATCTTTCCCCACCAGTGGCCACGGGTATCTCATAGCAGGTACTCAGGGCAGTGGGTAGTGATAGAAGTGCAGGCTGATACGGTTAATCCCAACTTCCCAAAGAAGAAACTGAAATGCAAAAACTGGGGACACCTGCATGAGGTCGGCAACTCTTTGTCCAGCTGGCACTAGAAACCAGACCTCCTGCCTCCTGTCCATGGTCCCAGGGGAAGGGTCATATAGGGAGCCTCCCAGCTGAAGGAGAGTGAGTCTGGGAGCCTGATCTTCTTCAGGGACACATGAAAGGTGGAACCAAGAGCAGAGAGAAAGGAGAGAGACCCAACTTGGGGCTGAGCATTTGAAGAGGGCAAGGCCCTATGTTGTATGACCTCAGCATGTCACCCACCTCTCTTGGCCTCTGCCAACCCAATGGGAAAATGGGGCCAGTGCCAGAACCTGCATGGAGGCTGTAGTAAATTCTATGCAGCCAGGTGGGTGTGGGGCACAGCAGGGAATAGGGCACAATACGGTCTCTCTGGAATGCTCAAGCCTGAATTTTCCAGTCCTGAGGCACACCTGTCCCTGCAGGAACCTACAGCCACAGGTGTGTTCATCCCTTGGTGTCACTAACCATGGACTTGACTCTCTCTTGGTGTCCCCTACCCTGTCTGTCTCTGGGCACAGGGCGCCCCTGCCTGCCTGAGTGGGACCACATCCTATGCTGGCCGCTGGGGGCACCAGGTGAGGTGGTAGCTGTGCCCTGTCCCGACTACATTTATGACTTCAATCACAAAGGTAAGGCCAGCTGAGTGAGGTGGGGATCACAGGGATGCCAGGACCTGGAGCTCGCGGCTTCAGTGACTCCAGATAGAGCTCTCTCTGCCTGCCCTGACTCTTCCACGGACCTGCAGGCCATGCCTATCGACGCTGTGACCGAAATGGCAGCTGGGAACTGGTGCCGGGGCACAACCGGACGTGGGCCAACTACAGCGAGTGTGTCAAATTCCTGACCAATGAGACACGTGAACGGGTGCGAGCCTTCCTCCCCGCTAACCCGACCGTGAGAAATTCACCCCTACCCCTGACCTAGCTCCTAGTGACCCCTGAGCTAGCTCTGAATCCCAACCTTGACTCCTCCAGCAACCTTACCTTGATGCTCACGCTGAGTCCCAAGGCTCTGACCATGTCACCCCACCTGCACAGGAGGTGTTTGACCGCCTGGGCATGATCTACACCGTGGGCTACTCCGTGTCGCTGGCCTCCCTCACCGTGGCTGTGCTCATCCTGGCCTACTTCAGGTAGGTGGGGCGAGGGGCGGGGCAAGGCCGGGCGAGAGGAGGCGAAGGCGTGGTCGAGGGTGGGGCCGGGGCGGGGCCGAGGTAGAGTGCCTCTTCCCCCCTTCATTGCACCCCTCACCCCTGTCGCGGTCCCTACCCACCGCGCACAGCCCAGCTTCCTGCCGGCCCACCGCGCGTCCCGTGCCCCAACCCACGGTGTTGTCGCGCGTCCCGCAGGCGGCTGCACTGCACACGCAACTACATCCACATGCACCTGTTCCTGTCCTTCATGCTGCGCGCTGTGAGCATCTTCGTCAAGGACGCGGTGCTTTACTCCGGCGCCACGCTCGACGAGGCCGAGCGCCTCACGGAGGAAGAGCTGCGCGCCATCGCCCAGGCGCCGCCGCCGCCCGCCGCCACCGCCGCCGGCTACGTGAGTGCCCCTCCGTGGCCCGTGCCGCCCCTGCTTCGTGGGAGCCCCCACCCTGTGCGCCTGGCCCTCGCCCCCGCCTGGCTCCTGCTACCACCACTAGCTGAAGGCACTCAAACCCAGCTCACGGGGTCCCTCGCACCCCTCAGCTCTGCTGCCAGCCCTACCGCTAAGGCCTTCTAAGTGACCCACACTGCCCGCCTATGAGCGACGCTCCTGCCTCAGCCCCGTACCCCTAGCCACGCCACCCCATCACCTGGCCGCCTGCCCCGACAACACCACACACACCCCTCAGGGAGCCCCCCAGTGGCACCCGCCCGTTCTTGCCTGCTTGGCCAGCACCACTTGTCCCATCCCACCAGTGTCCCGCCCCGGGGTCCCCTGTCCCTGCGCCCAGCCCCCAGCCCAGCCCTGGCTTCCCCGGATGCAGGCCCTGCCCTCTGGCTAACTCCAGCTGGTCTCTTAGGCGGGCTGCCGGGTAGCAGTGACCTTCTTCCTTTACTTCCTGGCCACCAACTACTACTGGATACTGGTGGAGGGGCTGTACCTGCACAGCCTCATCTTCATGGCCTTCTTCTCAGAGAAGAAGTACCTGTGGGGCTTCACGGTCTTCGGCTGGGGTACGCAGGCACAGGGGTAGTGAGGCGCAGGCAAGGGTGGGACCAGGGGTGGCAGGGTGAGAGGGCACCACCGAGGGTAAGGCATCCCCAGTGTATCCTGTCCTGGACATGGGACAGCAGGTGGAAGGCCTGCCAGCCTTCTGTGACTGACCCCATTCCAGACTCGTGCAACAGGGCTTGGCCAGGGGTCAGGTTCACATGGAGTCAAATTCACCTGGGGTTGCGGCTCAGCCCAGGAGAGGGAGAGGGGGACTACCAGGTCAACATTCAGCTCGTGATCAGAGTGGGATCTTGGGACCCTCCCTCCACCCTGAGCCCTGTGGGCTAGGCCAGCATCTGTTACTCCTCTGATCCACTCACTGGGATGAACTGGGGGAGCTGCCCACACCACCGCCAGCCTTCGTAGGCTTGCAGGGTCCATGGCCCAGAGCCGTAGGCCCAGCCTCTCAACACCATCTGGGCTTCAGCAGCCCCTCTGCAGAATGGGTTCCTGGGGCTGTGCTCTCCTCCCCACCCCCCACGGTTCTTGGATCTAGTTACCGATAATTGTCCATTATTGTTGGCAGCTCCAGAGCTTGGCTGGGCTCCGGGGCGACTGGCCAGACTGCAAAGGGATGGGCCGGTGGCTGGAGCCCTCTCTGTGCTCAGCACTCAGAGGCCCTCAGGTCAACAGCTACCGTCTCCTTGCCCCTTGGCACACACCCTAACCCTGACCTCACCATGACAAGCCCCCAGGTTAGGGGAGTCCTGGACCTGGTCCCGGGAGCTGACACAGGCTCTGGGGCTAGGAGGTGTCCAGGTGGACTGGAGACATGAGGATTGGGGAGTGCAGAGCACCCTGGGGCACAGAAATGTCACAGCTCTTTTTCTTACTGTAAACCCAGATCCCAGTCTATCCCTCCTGGGGTGCACCAGGCCTAGAATCAAGTAGGTGGGGGGGAAGACCCAGGGCTCCTTCCCCAGAGGCAAAGCTCACTCAGAGGTACTGTGTGCAACCTGAGCTGGCTCAGGCCAGGACACACAGAGGTTTCCCTGTGGCCCCCGCCTGGGACAAAAACTCTCACCCCATCCAGCCTCATCCATGAGGGCTAGGACCTTTCAAACCTGGTTGGAGTTGGGGGGCGGGGGGGTTTGCTGGGACAAGAAATGCTGGTAACAGCCTCCCCCACAGGAGGGAGCAGCACCCTTCGGGGAGGGGAGGGGATAATGGCCGGGGCATGGATAAGTTAGGGAGACCATACTGTTTCACCATGTGCCCCACAGGTATGTGTATGACACAGCACCAAGATGGGGCAGAGGGCTGAGCTGGGTCCTAAGGGCTGGAGCCCCAAGGGCCAGCTGGTGGGGCAGCACATGCCGGAATGTGGCTCTGTCACCAGGCAGCCCACGTGCCTGGGGTGAGGGGGTCAGGGCAATGATGGGCTGAGCTGGGGGTCATCAAGGATGAGGGCAGGAGATGTGGGCAGCACCCACAGCCCCTCACACACTGTCCCCTCTGTGCCCACAGGTTTGCCCGCTGTCTTCGTGGCCATATGGGTCGGTGTCAGGACTACTCTGGCCAACACCGGGTAGGTCCAGGTGGAGAAGAAGGCCAGGCCAGAAACACCCCTGGTACCCTCTCCCTCCGTGAAGCATATGAGGGGGCCTCCTGTACCCTGGCCCTGAGTGGCCCCAGCTTCAGGATTCTCAGTTCGGCCTCTAGCTGGGAACACCCCCAGGGTCACAGGGGGTCACCTCCAAAAAGGCCTGGTCACACCCAACACCCCCGTCCTGTGTCCCTGACAACTCTGGGGCCTCTGTGGGCAGGATTAGGATGGGAATGGAAGGGGTAGGGGCTAATGCCACAACCTCCCCCAGGTGCTGGGACTTGAGCTCTGGGAACAAGAAGTGGATCATCCAGGTGCCCATCCTGGCCTCCATTGTGGTGAGCAGGGGTGGGTGGGGTGTGCACCTGGGCCCCATGACTAGCCCTGACAGGGACCTGTGGCAGCTTCCCTGGACCCCAGGGTCCGAGCCACAAGGCCTGAGCTGGTCCCCACTCCAGTCCAGACAGGGAAACAAAGGGCCCACAGAGCCACCTAGAGACCCATGGCAGAGCAGGGCTGTGGCAGGCCATGGGCAGAGTCCTTGCCCCACCCCGCTGGGCGCAGCCTCAAGACGCAGCCTTCCTCACTCCCACAGCTCAACTTCATCCTCTTCAGCAACATCGTCCGAGTGCTGGCCACCAAGCTGCGGGAGACCAACGCGGGCCGGTGCGACACGCGGCAGCAGTACCGGTGAGCCACGCCTGCTGTGCCCTGGCTCTTCAGAGCTGGGAGTAGAGTTCAGGGGTCATTGAATCCAAGCACCGTGTACACAAAGACAAAGGCAAGGGAAGGATCCAGCTCTGACTCCCTGGCTGTCCCCACCCAACTACCAGCCCCAGGCACTGATGGGATCTTGTCCTGTTTCTGGAGGCCCTGGGGGAACCCCAAGGCCTAGAGTTGGAATCCGCCAGGGTACAAACTCAGACCTCCCCCCAAAGAGCTGTTCACAGGGAGTCCAGGGGACAGGTGGGCAGTGGGTGGCCCCAAGAAGGCCACAGCTCAGTTGAAGCCCTCGTCAGGCAATGGGCCATGGGAGGTGAGTGCATGCCAGCCGAGGGACCAACAGGTGCAGAGGGCCTGGCGACGGGGGCCTATAACTTGTGGTCCACTCCAGGACAACTCTGAGAATCAAGGGGCCCTATTCACACTTTGCGCAGACAATAGCTATCCCGAGGGAACTGGGTTATCCTCCTGTGGTGGTCAGCGCCTTGGGCCCCTTTGTAGCTTCTGGAGCCTGGGGCTGGTAGGGTGCGGGGTGGCGCGATGCTTGTTGAGGGGGAAGTGGCTGGGCCCTGAACTACCTGCCCTGCCGCCCCAGGAAGCTGCTGAAATCCACGCTGGTGCTCATGCCGCTTTTTGGCGTCCACTACATCGTCTTCATGGCCACGCCGTACACCGAGGTCTCAGGGACACTCTGGCAAGTCCAGATGCACTATGAGATGCTCTTCAACTCCTTCCAGGTGCGAGCTCGGCCAAGGCCTGGCTGAGGGTGGGAGGCGGCGAGGGGCGAGCTCTGATCCCAGACTCCTCTCCCCACAGGGCTTTTTTGTCGCCATCATATACTGTTTTTGCAATGGCGAGGTAAGCAGGAGGCAGCGTTGGGGCAGGGCAGGGACGAGACAGATGTGCCAGGGGCTCCCTCAAAGTCTTGTCCCTTGTCTTCTGCTCCATTCTTTCTTTGTTCTTCCAAGAAAATCCCTGAGGACATTCTGAAGGCAGAGAGAAATCTTCCTACATGATTCAGGCTCAGGATGTGCTAGGATTTAGGGGCTCTCCAATCTCCGGCATAGCCAAGGGTCTTCCCAGCCCCACAATTGCATTCTCCATAACCCAGATTGGAGGACTTAGCTCCCTTTGGGGCCATTAGAGCCTTGTAGATTCCGGGTGTGCCAGTTGCCTGCGGCCAGGCACTATGTTCTGAGGATGGTGGGATTTTACTTGGCCTTGGAATTTTCTAGTAGTCCCCTACTCCTCTGTTTTCATTCAGTGCTGGGTGTTTCAGGGGTAAGGATGGTGGCACTGTTGGGTTGTGGGCATACCTAATCACCCACCCTCCTGCCTGCCCAAGGTACAGGCCGAGATTAAGAAATCTTGGAGTCGCTGGACACTGGCACTGGACTTCAAGCGCAAGGCACGCAGCGGGAGCAGCAGCTACAGCTACGGCCCAATGGTGTCTCACACAAGTGTGACCAATGTAGGCCCCCGTGCAGGACTTGGCCTGTCCCTCAGCCCCCGCCTGCTGCCTGCTGCCACCACCAATGGCCACGCCCAGCTGCCTGGCCATTCCAAGCCGGGGGCCCCAGCCCTGGAGACCCTCGAGACCACGCCACCTGCCATGGCTGCTCCCAAGGATGATGGGTTCCTCAACGGCTCCTGCTCAGGCCTGGATGAGGAGGCCTCTGGGCCTGAGCGGCCACCTGCCCTGCTACAGGAAGAGTGGGAGACAGTCATGTGACCAGGCACTGGGGGTTGGACCTGTGACATGAGTGGATGGACAGATGAACCAAGTGACGGGTGGTTGGATGGTTGCCCACTCAGGGCTGGGGCTGGGAGGAAGAACAGGGAAAAAAAGAAAAGAGAAAAAAAAAAAGAAAAAGGAAGAGGAAGCAGTGTGTGGCTTCCCGTTGTCTGAACTGGGGACTCTGAGTGGGGAGGGGCTGGGCATCGTGGGAGAATTGTGGGGGGACTGACCTGGGAGTGAGGGAGGGGCCATGAGTCATGGAGAAGTCCTTAGGTCTCACTCCAAAAAGGGGAAGGATCCAGGGGTGTGTGGCACAGTCCAGCATAAAGAACCCAGAAAGGCTCGAGTTTGCAGGGGTCACACAGCAGCCACTCAAGTGGGCCCATGTGGGAATCGGGCCTCAGCCTTCTCCTGTCACCACTGCCACCTCAGCCGCTCCCCATACCTGTATCCAAGCCCCTGCAGGGCCCTGATCACTGCCCACCTAGGGCTGACAGCAGATGCCTCCTCAGCAGATCCCTCAGGTCCCAGGCTGCACTCCCAAGCCTGTCTTGGGTGACCCTTCCCTGGTTGTCTGGTGGCCCTCAGGGAGCCTTCCATACATGACCCTCACCCCTGCCCAGGCCTGACACGCCTCCAGCAACCAGACAGAAGTTGCAGGGGGAGTGCCAGGGCCAGCAAGTGAAAGGTGGGCTGGGGTCTCTGCTCTGGCTCAGGAACCGTGGGGGGCCAGGAGTCTGAGCCCAGAGCTTGGACACATCTACTCACAAGGCACCCAGGACAGCCACTAAGCATCTCCACCTCACACCTACCACCTTACCTGCGCCCCTGGGCCCTGCCCACTCCCATCTTGAGCCATTCATGAGCCCCAGAATGGCACAGCCCCTCCTCAGCCTGGCACCCTGAGGACTGGCCCAGTGCCTGCCCGCCCCATGCCCTGGCCCAAACGAGCTTCTTGCTCTTGCTCAAGCCTGCAGATGGCACTGCCTCTGGGTCAGTGCACAAGCTGGTGCCCATGACCTGCCCTGCCTTCCCGTCTCCAGCTCCAACCACCTTGCTCTTCTCCGTGGATGGTGTCCAGGAGTGCTCCTCATTTCCAACAGCCCATGCCCACCCAGTAGGGGTGAGGTGAGGGGTCATGAGGCCCAAGACAACAAAGTCACTTGGGCGGTAGGTGGCATAAGCATGCACGGAGCAGCCTCAGGCCCGCCCTGCCTGCCCTGCCAGATGGCAGGCAGGGCAAACTACCGTCCAAAGGCCTGGTACACCCACAGAGCTCTATGTGGCTTGACCTGTTTGTAATGGTAGGAGAGAGGCATAGGCCAGGTCCTGAAGGGCCATTGAGCGAGGCTGAACACCAGGTACTCCCGTGGATGCTGGGAGCCACTGGAAGTTCTAGAGGGAGGGCAACGAGGTCTGAGCAAAATTTAGAAGAGTCTCCGCTCCAATGCGCAGACCAGAGGAGGCTGCCCAGGGGTGAGAGAGGAGGTAGCCTGATAGGAGGCAGGTGGCCAGGCAGGGAGTCAGTGATGGGGGTTGGGAGGTGCTGTTGTCAGGAAGGACCCTGGATGAGACACTGGCTGGGAAAGGAGACCTCAGTAGGACAGACCCTCGTCCCCCTCCCCGGGGGGGGGGATGTCCAATGTCCCTCTCCAGGGTCTGAACTGACCCATCAGCTCAGCTCAGAACTGTGGCTCACGACTTCAGGAGCCTCCTGACAGAGGAGTCTGGGCTGGGAGATGGGGCCCTGAGGCCTAGGCAGCATCCTGCCCACCCCATAGGCAGGGTCCCCAAGGTTCAGACCCATCTCCCAGCCCAGACTGATTTGTCAGGAGGCTCCTGAAGTCGTGAGCCCACGTGGCCCACTCACCCTGAAACATCACTCGACTGGGCACCCCTGGACAAGGCTGCATCTTCCTCCTCAGGCCGGCTGCCCCCCAGGACAGAGTTGAGCCTCTCCTCTCAGACTGGATTCCCTCTAGGACAAGGACTGGCCTCTTCCTGCAGACCGGGGACACCAGTCCCTACCCCAACCCCAGGACAGGGCTGTCTCCCCCCTCAGACTGGGTACCCTGAGGACAGAGCTACGTCCCCCCTTCAGACTTCTTACCACCTTCCCTTTAGATGGCCCCCCCAAGATAGGGCTATTCTTCTCCTTTGGACTAACTGCCCCTGGGACATACTAGGTACCCTCATCTCAGGTTTGGTGTCCCTAGGCCAAGGCCAGGCCTCCCATATCCAACCAGACACCTCCTAGATGAGGACTGGCCCTCCCTCCTCAGGATGTTTGCACCCAGGACAGAGCCAGGCCTCCCACTTTAGGCATGGCACCATTTATCCCCTCACACTGGACGCCCAGGACAGGACTGCACATCGCCCATCAGTCCAATCCCCCTAGGCCAGGACCAGGTCTCCTCCCTTAGGCCGGGAGCCCCTGAGCCGGGGCTGGCCTCCACTCAGAGAGGCCCCTGAGCCCCACCTGGGCCATCCAGGTGTTGGCAGAGGAAGTGGGAGCCCTCAGCAGGCCTGGCCAGCTGTCAGGACCCTATTTGCCTTGAGCAGGGGCTGGAGCCAGGTGGTCACTTCTCCCTTCAAGGCCTCGCAGCCCAGCCAAGCCGCAGGGAACACGTAAACAGCAGCAGAGCCGGGCAGTGGGCGGGCGGGGGAGGGCGCTGACAGACTCCCACTCCTCAGCCCCCGTGGCTGCGGTATCCAGGCTGCCCTGAATGCCAAGTTAGGCCAGTGAGGTGGCCAGGTCCAGCTCTCACCTGTCTTGGGCATGTGGACAGGCCCTGCCCCTCCCTGGCCAGTCTCCCTCAGCCCAGGTTGAGAGAAGGACCTCTGGAAACCCTTGGAAGGAATGTACCCTCCTCGGGGGCCCTGTCCAGCCCTGGCACACGGGCCTGGCCCCAAGGGGGGCGGAGTGAGTCCACAGCTCCCAGCTCAGAGCAGGATCTAGGGGATCCAGAGTCACCCAAAGATGCTTCTGCCCACCCTCCTGCAAGCCCCTCGTCAAGATCAAGGACTAAGCTGGCCCCACGTGCCTGAAGCGGGCAGGCTGTGATAGTCCACACATGTCAGCCCTCACCTGGGGAGGTGACCAGAGGACAGCAGGCAGATGGGAAAGGGGACTGAGTTCTCTGGAGGTTCAAGAGGGACATGACCCTGCCCCCTGGGACTGAGAGGACACAGACCTGCCCCAGAGGTCTGAGGGGACATGGACCTGCCCTGGGGGATCTGAGAGGACACTGGCTCTGCTTTGGCTGTTAGAAGAGAGGTCTGGCTGTGGGGACGTGTTGGGGGGTTGGGGGTGTGGGGCGTGCTGTGTAGCTCCCTGTCCTTGACGGCCTCAGCCAACTCCAGGAGCACTATACCAGCCTGCAGCCTCCATGACCAACTGAAACACACCTTGCCTGAGGGACTACTCCACTGGCCAGCATGGGCAGAGGAGGAAGGGACTGCAGAGCCAGGCAGGGGCCTGGGCCTGTGTGACTCTGGGCAAACCACCTTCCCTCTCTGAGCCTCAGCTTCTCCTTGGAGGTCAGGGCCCTGCTCAGACTTCCTGGCCTGAGTCGGAGCAGAATCCCACCTTTCTACCCAACAGGCCCCCCAGGTTGGGTTCTGGCTGCCTGGACAGGGACACCAAATCCTTCCCTTAGGCAGGACTGAGACACTCAGGACCCAAGGCTAAGGAGTCCCATGTGACACGTTCCCTCCTTCTTCCGCATCATGGTCATGCAAGCTGGAATCCAAGGTGTGGTGAGTGCAGATTCTATGCAGATCCTACCCATCCAGGGTCTGGGGGCCAGCTACCCTGAACATAGCTCTGGGCAGGAAAGGGGCCAGGATCTGGGAGGCAGAGACCAGGATTCCAGGCATACAACAGTCTTGCATCTGTGGGTGAGGAGAGGATAGGTGAGACCTCTTTGTGTTCCTGCATTTATTATGCACCTTCAGGCTCCTCCTCTACTCTCAGACTTGAGTTTTTTTTCTTTTTGGAAACAGAGTCTGGCTCTGTTACCCAGGCTGGAGTGCAGTGGCCCAATCATAGCTCACTGCAGCCTCGAACTCCTGGATTGAAGTGATCCTCTTGCCTCAGCTCCGGAGTAGCTAGGACTACAGGTTCATGCCACCATGCCTGGCTAATTTTTTTTCTATTTTTGTAGAGACTGGGTCTTGCTATGTTGCACAGACTGGTCTTGAACTCCTGGACTCAAGCAATGTGGCAATCCTCCCACCTTGGCCTCCCAAAGTGCTGGAATTACAGGCAGAAGCCACTGTACCCCGCCTTGTTTTTTTGGGGGGTAGGTATCTCCCCAAAGGCTTCCCAATTGAAAGGCCCCATGGTTTTTGGGCATTTCTCCCATCATGGTGAGTTGCAGGCAGAACTGCTGGGGGCGGGGCATTGCTGGCGGCTCTGGTGGGGATCTTGGCAGGTAGGTGGCCCCCCCACAGGGCTACTGCTAGCTTTGCTTTTCAGTAGCTGGGAAGAAGGGGCAAGGCCTGGCTGGAGGATGGGGTTCTGGGGCGTGAGAGGGTGGGCTCTTGGCCACCCCAATCCCCCTTTGCAGCTCCTCAGTACTGTGCTCCAGTCAATCTCCCCTGGGAGGCCCTTCGCCGGGTCCTCTGCACCACCGTGTTGTGCTCTCCAATCAGCCCGCGACAGTTTGACCCACACCCTTCTCTTGCTCCAACATTTTTAAGAGTCAGGGACAACCCTGGCATGGAGCATACCCTGGCCCTTGCCTGGAGGTCACACTTTCTGGCTACCTGCCCCCAACAAGTTCCCATACATCAGCAAGAGAGAGGGCTGCACTGTGTGGCAGTTTCCGTGTGTGTATGTCTGTTTGTGTATTTCTTTGTATTTGCGTGTGTGTCTGTTTGTAAATGTGCCCATCTATGTGTGTCTGTTTGTCATTCTATTTGTAAGTATGCCTGTGTCTGTGTTTGTATGTGTGCCCTTGTGTATTTAAACGTGTCTGGATATGCCTGTATGTCCGTTCGTGTGTCTGTGTCTTCCGGTGTGTCTATGTGTGTGTGTGTGTACCAATATGTCTATTTTGTTTGTATGTGTGTCTGTGTGTATGTGAGTGTCTATTTGTGTGTGTGTATGTGTGTGTGTGTGTGTGTGTGTGTGTGTGTGTG